GGTTCAGGTCCCAGCCCTGTCAGCAGAGAGGAAGGTGATGGGCTCCCCCCGGCGCCCTGCGTCGCCAGCGCCTGACAGCACGGGACGTGCACCGTGGAGAAAACCAGGCTGGAGCCGGGAGAGAGCGGGAGCAGAGGCACAGAGAGTGAGAAACGGTGAGAGAAACACCAGCCAGGTAACTTGTGTCTACTGCGGCGTGTAAAAGGAAAAACACAGAAACCTACTTCCAGCAAACGCCACTCGGGGGGCAGGGGACATCATTAACGGGTGGAACTCGCTGCTGCACGGTATCTTTGAGACCAAGAGATCCGAGGACATTTATAGGGAACATCCATGATTACAGTGGGCAGAGACAGAGTTTACGAGGGGTATAAACTGCACGCTTCAGGGCATGAAGCAAGAAATTTCCAGAAAAAATATTTCCCCCAGGGTTCTGCCACGACAAGCTCATCTGTCCTGCAGGCTTAAGGTTTTTCCCTGAGCCACGTGACCAGCACCATGGATGTGAGCCCTCGCTGTGACTCCTTCGCTCCTACAGCACCTCTGCAAGAAATGGCAAGGTAAAGCTGGATGCAGCAAAACCCTGGTGGGGGGCACGAGCCCAGAGGATGAGGAGCGGCCAGTTCCCCGGGGGAACAGGTCAGAGGCGAGAGGCACAGAAAGCGGCGCAGAAAGAGGCAAGCCACGCGCAGAGGCTCCAGCAGCGAGCTGGCAAAGCCAGCGGCACACCCCAAGGGGACAGGAAAAGCACAGGATTTCCCCAGGAAGTTATCAGGCCAGTAAGAAGCTTTTAACCCACCAGCAGCCTGCACACGCAGCAGCAGACGCTATGTAATCATTCCCACGACATTTCCACTTCCAGCTTCCTGCTTCCCTCCCCAGCCTCGCCCTGCGCACCGCTCCTGTGGCTGCACCACCACCTCCCTCTGGAGCAGGGATGGGGCTGGCTGTCCCAATCTCTGCCCAGGCCTTGGGGACTCAGGCACACCTTTGCAGGTCTCCTTGCCAACGCTTCTCACCAGCCCAGGACCCTCAGGGTGCTCGCTGTGGGCAGAGCTCTCACACCCCCTCCACATCCTCTCTACCCCAATCCTTCCTTCCCGCAGGCATGGGGCCCTCTCCCCTCTGCCCTAAGGACCAGGCTTGGGATGCTCTGCCTGCTGCTCCCGGGACAGCTCTGCCCGGCCCTGATGTGCCGAGTGTTGAGAGCTCGTTGCCCCCCAACTCGCCAGCCCAAGCCCCGCTGGGAGCCAGGCAGCTCCCCGCTCTCTTCACACTCCTCCTTTTTCCAGCTCGAAAAAGCTTCAAATACTGTGCATCTGACAACAGCTACAGAGAAAACACCCGGCTTTCCTGCCAGCCTGGCAGCATGGGAGGTGGGGGCAGAGGCTGCTGCCAAAGAGCCGGCGAGCACCTTCCTTCCCCCTGCCACCCCCGCCACCAGACAGACAGAGGGACACGAGCCCTCATTACATTTTCCAGGGACAAACTCACCGCTGCTTATATTAAAATTCACAAAACACTCAAACGGCTGAGGGCTTTTTTTCCTTTTTTACCGTTTCAGGGGAGGGTT